AATTCACAAAAATTTTATAGAAATAAAAGAATCTTGTTTATTGGGTCTTTGGTAATTTAAGACCTTTGGAAACTGTATTTAAGGATTATTTGTAATTTTTAAGGATTTTTAGGGCCTTAAATTTGGAAAAGCTAATTTAAGACTTTAAGGACCCGCGGATACCCTGGAAAAAAGACGGAAATGCTGACTGTACCGCGCAACGCTGTAGTTTTCTAGCTGTAGTAAAAAAAAAAGAGCTTGGCGACGGCGCAAAAATCTTATTTATTTTTTTTAGAAGAAATGCTTTTAGCGCTTCTACTTGTTTTAAAGACATTGAAGTAATTTAGACCAGAGGAAAGAGCCGCAGAGAACTCCGCTTCAGTCGCCATGTTGGACAAACTCAGTGTTGTGGTGTGTGACGTACGATACTCAGCGCTGATTGGCTCGGTTAGAATTCTCAGGGGGCGGGGTTATTTGAATAGGAGAGTTCCCAGACCCTTTCTCTGTGCAGATTTAAACAGAGGAGGAGTCTGGCGGGCCAGGCTAGCACTGAGAGGCATTTGAGACGCTTTCCAGACGCAACAACTGGACTGAAGGTTTTTTAAACATCTTCTAAATTACGGCGACACAACAACAAAACCGCAACCGTTCATGGAAACTAAGAACCTTCACAACGTATCCAGGAAATGACAGAAACTCTGTTTCCAGCAGATGCAGCACAGAAAAACAAGCCCACTAATTTCAAATACAAGTTTGATGCTTTCTGAGCTAAAATCCTTCTTCCTGTCAGTCAAACTAACGTGGAACACACACTGCCAGCTACCACTAGAGGCGGATCTTCTTTTCCCGTTCCTAAGCTGACGCTAAAAGCATGGTCGTTCACAGTGTTGGGAACGTTACTTTAAAAAAGTAATTAGTTATAGTTACTGATTACTTTGTCAAAAAAAGTAACTCAAGTTACTAACTGAGTTACAAGATCATAAAAGTAACTAATTACCAACAAAAGTAACTACTTAGTTACTTTTTTCATTAAAGAATGCAAGAATTACTACAATAGTAAAATATAAATGACTAATGACTGAACATAATAAAATGTATGCCCAAATGTTTTATATAAACCTGAATAATTTAAACAAATACGCACTTAACAGGAGGAACTACTAATAGGAACATTACACTAATCTAGACTATTAAAAGGTCACTGTGTGATATTTAACAAGACCCCAATCAGCTAAAATTTAAAATTGCAAATAGAAACACCTGTAAAGGTTCCCGAGCCTTTAAATGGTCTCTCAGTCTAGTTAAATTACAGAAATAAATGTAATTTTGCACAGTATTCTAATTTTTCCAGCTTCACATAATTGTGTGTTTTTAGCAGCATTTCTGTTGCTGGTAATCTAGTAACGGTTAAATAAATAAATAAATATCCTTTAAAATGACACTAGAAGAGGCACAAGCCTGATGGAGGACTTAGATTTACTAACGTGGGTCAGACCCAACCACAGAAGAGCTGAAGCTGGGTGGTGAACACACACAGGTAGTTCTAATAACACCTGAGCTCCATGACGTTTGAGACTGATGCATCAGTGTTACAGCGGGACTAAAGACATGATCAGAAACAGGTTACAGCTGGATGATCTAGGAAGGCAGAAGATCAGGACGTCAGAGCGGTGAACAGGTGAGCGGACCTTCGGGACGTCCCGCTGTCACGCTAAGGGCACGGCTGCAGATCCGCAGATTTGCTGCTGCAGCAACAAATCTGCGGGGGGTCTGCAGCCGTAGATATTCATCACGTCTTCCTCGTTCTTCACGGGCCGTGACGCACTTGGATGAAAACATCTACCTCTTTAGCTCCTGATCAGCTGATGATGACAGCTTCAACACACCGCGCTGCTTCACGCACGCATTTTCTTATCAGTAACAGAAACGACGTTTTGATAAAAGAAGACGGTAATTAATTAGTTTGCTCGTTACAGAAAGAAATATTTTTTATTAACGCGGTTATTTTAAACAGAGTTATTCCCGTTGTGTCTACAGAATGCAGAGACTGAGACAGTGAGGGTCTCCGCCCACCCGGCCAATCAGCATCGTGTTTGTAAGTGCGTTACCGACACCTCTCTCTCCCTGGCTGCAGCTGAAGTGTGGCGGTCAGAAAGCCTCACGCTGCTGCTCAACGTTCGACAAGCACATAGTAACGCACAACCTTCCGTCCCCAGTAACGGTAACGGCGTTGCAACGGCGAGAAAAGTAATTAATTAGATTATTCCGTTACCTATAAAAGAACGCCGTTAGAAACGCCGTTATACTTAAACGGCGTTACTCCCAACACTGGTCGTTCACCATCAACCCAGCAGACGCAACTTTTAGGCTAACCCAGAGGATTTGGGTCATTTGGACATTTGTCCTGTTTTTATTGTAATTTAGTGTCTATGTTGTTTTCCCATGGCTTTGGGTTAGGGTTAACCCATGTGACCTGATAACTGTGCTGTCACTAGCTGTTTTTGTCTGGTTCTGGAGTTAGAAGCTCAGAGTGTAGTGGCTGCGACTCGTTCTCACAACAGAACGTCTCTAAAGTTTTTGAAACGTAAATAAAAACATCATAAATATATTTGTTTGTGTAAATGTCTTGTTTTGTTTTGTCTTTGATGATTTCTTCTGTTCCTGTGCATTCCCCCAGACGTCGGGTTCGTATAATCTGGGTTGTGCTTCCGTTAAAACCGGACACTGATCCTAGAACAGCGTCGGGTCCACGCTGGAGGATTTAAAAACACCCCCCTCACGATATTTCAGGGTTTCCAAGACCAGCAGGAGTCATCTTACTGCCCGTTCCAGCGCTGCTGTGCAGCACACAGATCAAATTCTGTGACCCTTTAACCTCCCTCTATCTCCATCTCCCTCCCTCCTCCATCCTCCCCCATCCCCTGAGGTCACCAGTCCATCACTCCCCCCCTTTCTGCGACTGCGGTACTGCTGTGGTAACACAACACTGACCGGTGCCCGTTCCTATGGCAACCGCTCCCCTGAGAAATTCCCAGCATCCTCAGCAACCACGACTCCTGAACACACACAGATGCAGCATTTTAGAAGGCCGTTTCTAGTAAAAGACGGTGGCGATTCACCTTTCTTCCCATCAGCAGGTCTAACTATAGCCAGATGAGGGACACGGGGGAGTATTTACAGACCGGGAGACCGAGGCAGACGGTGGAGGCAGAAACAGACGGATAAATAACATGCTGTGTCTGTCGCGCTGACGCCCGATTCCTCCAGTACACAAACAGCAGACATCAGAGGACGAGGAAACAGGAGGGCATTGCTGGAGAGACCATAAAGAGGTGGGTGGGTCATGACCCTGAAATATCCAATCAGGTGTGCACAAATCACACATATTTAAAGGTTTCCTTTTAAAAACAAATAAAGCTACTAAACCAGTACCTCCCCATAATGGTCAGCCAGCTCTTTTTAAATTGTGTTTATGTTTATTAAATTAAATATATAAGTGAGTTACTACCCGCTAGCCACCAAAGCTGCAGCTACTAACCAACTAACCAACCATAGGTAACTTCTTTGGATCTAAAAAAAACATTTTAAATTAGTTGACTTACATTTAAACTTGAAATTTGTCCCAGAAGTAGCTGCCGGCTTTTGATCCGCCGTCCTTTTGAAAATACTGCGGTGTATTCTGGGTAATTTTTGGCCAAGGCTAGGCTACAAGACACCTCCCGTGCAGTGCTGCCAACTGTTTTTGACTGAAAGTAGCTGAAGTTCTTCCCAAAAGTCGCTAGATGTTGCCAGATGACGTCACATGCTAATTTACATATTGATGACATCATCACGCCACACTGGCGTTCATGTTGTTGAAATGTTTTGGTCCTATATATATATATATATTATATACACATATATATACATACATATATATGGCTGAAAGTCTGCATTTAAGTCGGACAGATTTCCCTACATGTGTAGCTCACGGGTGACGATGCCCGAAGATATCGCGTTAGAGTTCATACTTGTTTAATTATTTATTTTAATTCCGGTGCCGGTTAGCAACCGAAACACATCCTCACGTGCTTGTGGATATCATATAATGCTTATGGAGACATGACTGTAATAATAAGTAAAGGTTATCAGCTGTAGGTTCAGTGTGCTCATAGGAAACGTGACAAAAGAAAACAAACCACATTTCTCTTTATGGCCTATATTGTTGTCATCATCAGCATAACATGATTTACAGAATACGTGTGAACAACTAACATTTCATGTTCTACCACCGGATGTTTGGATCAAAATATGAACCAATCAGATCTTAGATCAGGTGAGAGCCAGGCGTTTCCCGTCATCCTCTAGGTTTTGCAGCCGGTGGAGAGCAACTGCAGCGCCTTGCTCCAAAATCTGCGGCCGCCTTGATCTCACGAGGTTATCGTTGCCTACGTATGCATGACGTCAGAGCAAGTCGGCGTCAAGTCGGACACAAATCTAACCGGCATGCGCTGCGTACCGATCACCGGTGGTCTAATCTGCGCAGAACTGGCTCATCTCGAACACGGCCTTTGTCTTCGGCAAATCGGCGAGGCCGAAAACGGTTTATGATTGGTCAGTCCTCGTGCACATGTGCAGATTATCGTTCTCTTTCCTTACTCCCCGAAGAACGGTTCAGAGTGCAAATGGTTTCTTTGTTGCTAATCTGTAGGGATTATCTACAAGAAAGTTCTACAGAACGTAGCAACGGGTCCTGAGAAATGGCGCTAGGTTTGTCGCTAGGCGCTGTTTGGAAATAAAGTCGTTAGGAACAGCGACAAAGTCGCAGAGTTGGCAACACTGCTCCCGTGCATCCTCGCTCAGCTAGCTAAACGGCTAACAAACGGAGAACACACGCCTCGGTAGAACATGAACATTGGAACACGTCTTGGCGGCTCCCGATGACGTATCTCCTAGGCAACCGGGGCGGGGCCAAGACATCAAGGCGAGGTTCCTTGGCACTGAGAAACACCCCTGGACTTAAATGAGCGTTGAGTACTTACGGGAGCTGACCGTGTCCACGTACTGAGGCAGGTACGGAGCCCACATGTCGATCGTATCTTTGCGTCCCGACTGTCCGATCCTTCGTAACTCGGCCAGAAGAAGAGCCTGGGCTGCTTCCCGTACCTGACAGCCAAAAGATAAAACACTAGATTTATTTCAGACCTACAGAAGGTGTTCTTTAACTTCTATCAGGCGTGTTTACTGTCTCAGACATTCTGGATCAGATTCTGCTGGATTAAAAACATCCAGTCACAATGGGAGCCCTAGATTAAAGAAATATGTCCGCCATTTTGAAGTGTATTTCTATGACCGCGTTACCCACCTTATTTTTGTTTTTTATGGAGAAAAGATGATGTTAGCTAGCCTGGCAAGCCAGACTAAATAAATGTATTATTTATTCTTTGCAAAGCAAGAATTTGGTCTAGTTCACTAGGCTAGATGTTAGCAGCATCCGGTGAGATACCGGAACTAGCGCATACCCGTTGCTTTACATCATGGGTAGGGAACCCTGGTCCTGGAGAGCCTCTATCCTGCACATTTTAGAGGTTGCCCTGCCTTAAAACACCTGATTTTAATCAGCAGGTGATTAAAAGGCTTCTGCAGAGCCTGATGAGCTGTTGAACAGGTGATTCAACTTTGTTGAATCAGGGCGACCTCTAAAACGTGCTGGATAGTGGCTCTCCAGGACCAGGGTTCCCTACCCCTGCTTTACATGGTGGGTTTTGTTGCTAGTAGCAGTTAATTCTTCTTTTGTTGGCTACAAGAGCGATGTTTAGAACATGCTGTTAGCATCGGTGCAGCTTTCACCGCCTCCCCAGAGATGAGGAACCCAGAAAGACGTGGCTGAAAAGTGTTACCTTGACAGGGTTTCCCCCAGAAAATGAGTTAAGCCTGGCGGATTCGGCCATCGGGGGGGGGGGGGGTCGCAGCGCTCCTCCGTGGCAGCGGGGGGTGGGGGTGTTGTACACGTTCCGCTGCTGTTTCTCACCAGTATCAGCTGATGGAGGGCTCTAGTTTCGTTGCGCTGTTCATGTCAGCGGACACAGTAGGGTTGGGGAGGGGGGCGGGGCGGGGCGGGGCATGGCGCTTAGCATGGCGCGTGGCCAAGCAAAGCCTGGGGGAATCCCTGCTTGAAAACTACTTTACTTGTGCGTTTATTTCATTTTGTTGTGAAAAACCTCAGAGAGGAACACTTGCATCCTACTTAGTTTCTGGATAGGACAAACCTCCGGCGGGGAGAAGGCGGGTCGTGAAGTCTCACAAGAATAACAGGGATGATTTCAAGTGTAGTTTTCTGAGTTTTACTATAACGTGCGTTTAGACTGCTGTTGCTAACCTAAAAGTGCCATCCTGCAGTTGGATGTAGAAACTGAAACCCAGGCTAGGTGATGAGGGATTTAAGGCTCTGACTCGGCTCTACGTCTGCTTTTAAGGAAATAAGTGTTTCAACAAAACCCAGCCAGCCCGGTTACTCTGTAAGTAACGCTAAACCTCGGAGCTTTTAAGATCGTTTGTTGCCTCTCTGTAGCTAAGTAGCTAAAACGTTCCTGTTAGCTTTAGCCAGATTCTAAGACCATCCTCCCATCCCTCTGGCTCAGTCGGCAGGAGTGTAACAGTGACCCGTTTGAGCTGGGACAGCTGACGTTTAAGTCTCTAAAAGTCCGTAAAAAGAGGAATTGCGCTAAGAGACCGCATCGTCTAATGTAAACAAACGCGGACAGGAAGCTTCTGACATCTTTCATGCAAATAACGTGGATAGATTCTAATGATGAAGAATAAAGCTCGTGTCTATCAGGATAAATGGACCAATAGCTTCCCCACTGATTCTGCAAAAGTGCTAAAAATGTCTTAAGGCGTCCACCTGGTTGGGTGTTAGACTAGCCGTTAGCTCATTGGTCCTGTAGGATGTAAGCTTTTCCCCACATGGCCCATGATATTTAGATTTTTTTGCTTCATAAATAACCATGAGTGCATGAAAACACAGAAAAAACCAGTTCTGACTTGTCTGGGAGCAACCCGTACCTCCAGACATCGGTCCTGCCACCTCCTCGCCAACATCTCCAGCAGAGGAGGTCGGTACTTGTCCAGGCCCAGGAGATCCGGCAGCATGACGCAGTGCATGGCTGCCAGCTGGCTCCAGCCTGCGCGCGCACACACACACACACACACACACACACACACACACACACACACACACACACACACACACACACACACACACACAAATCAGCTGAAACAACATGAAACATCACTGTTGTTAGATTAAAACAGTTTTAGGTCCGGTGTTTTCATTGCTTTACAGTGACTGAGTACAGGATGGGTAGTTAACACTGATCTCTGCTGCCTTGGTTAGAGAGACGTCGTTACTGCTGCTAACCAGAGTCTGAGCAGGTCTGATGGAGGTAAACAGGAACACATCCATATTTACCTGTGTGTGTGTGTGTGTGTGTGTGTGTGTGTGTGTGTGTGTGTGTGTGTGTGTGTGTGTGTGTGTGTGTGTGTGTGTGTCTGTGTGTGTGTGTGTGTGTGTGTGTGTGTGTGTGTGTGTGTGTATGTCTGTGTGCACGTATGTGTGTGCATCTGTGTCTGTGTGCACGTATGTGTGTGCATGTGTGTGTGCATCTGTGTGTGTGTGTGTGCACGTATGTGTGTGCATGTGTGTGTGCATCTGTGTGTGTGTGTGTGCACGTATGTGTGTGCATCTGTGTGTGTGTGTGTGTGTGTGTGTGTGTGTGTGTGTGTGTGTGTATGTGTGTGTGTGTGTGTGTGTGTGTGTGTGTGTGTGTGTGTGTGTGTGTGTGTGTGTGTGTGTGTGTGTGTGTGTGTGTGTGTGTGTGTGTGTGTGTGTGTGTGTGTGTGTGTGTGTGTGTGTGTGTGTGCGTGCGTGTGTTTTTTACACATGGAGACAAGACAGTGTGTTCACCATGATACAGATAATCAGAAAACCTCGCAGGTTTTCAGGAGCGACACAGATGCAACAAGAAAAATTCGATTTGTACGAAGGAAAAAACACACGTTGGTTCGACTTTAAGGGGTTTCCACATCCGGCTGCATCCGTTTGATGTTTCATCTTAAAACATTTTAAAGTCATGTCAGAAGCTCCACATAAACAGAGCGCCTTGTTCACATATATCAGACAAATATATGGTTTCCAGTGGAGATGCATGTGGGATGGACACCAAACAGCTTCAGAGCAGGAAAGAAATTTCATAAAAAATTTCTTTGTCTGGTTCCTCGTGTGAACTTACCTCCAACGGGGAGACTAACGGAGAGAAAACTGAACACGTTAGAAGATTCCTAAAAAGAGGTCGACTGATTTCTGTTGCTTGAGATTTTTGAGACTTTTTGTAACTAAAAACAGAAAAAATTGTAATGGAATGAAATGTCTGTTTTCCACCAAAAGTAATTCTCCCCCTCTCCTCTGACACAGGACTAGTCTGCATGAGATATGGCCTCAAGGTCTCATGCATTTGCTTCTAACCTGCTTCTTTCCAGCTCAACAGAAGAATGAAGAAAGGACTCTCTCCTTTTAATAAATCAAAGAACTCTATTTTAATAAAGCTAATCAAAAAAAGTGTTAGTCAATAATAAGATGTGACCAATCTGTGAAATCAAAATATTAATTACTTTATTATAATTCTATAGAATATAATAAGTAATATGACTTTAAATGTTTCCACTAGGACTGATCTCATGTAGCGTTAAGAGATGACACATTGCTTTACTGATTTGCCAGATCTGACGGAGGTGTGGTTTTCGTGGTGTTTGATAAATCTGTCATCTTTTCATTCGACGATAAACCAAAACATCCGAAGTATAAAACTACGCCCTCGCCATCTTTAACGCCAGATCAAAGCGTCCTAGAGAAGTTGTCGGAGTGGCCAATCCGTAACTTTCCTCTTCAGCCGAAACAACCAACGACAAGCTGGATAAAATCTGTTGCTGTTCCACCTGCTGCAACGGTTCCTTTCAGAATAAAAGCTGAATCATCACGACCCAGGTTTGGGTCTTGTTAGATGCAGATAAACTGTTGTGACCTGGGAGTATCTCAAGACTGGTGGTCGGCTGCCGCGGCGCTTCTACAGGCTCCGGCTCCACAAGGTCAAGCTGGACCTTTACACCTCCTGATCTAGACGGGGACTTCCGCTAAGGGTATGTAGGCCGACAAATGGCGTTGAATGTGTTTATGAATCTCCTAACCAAAGCTTTACGCGAAGACTTCACCTTCACTTCCCATCAGAACTAATCGCTTCTTCGGATTTGCTGGTTCTGAGCAACATTCCACATCACACCATTCTCCGTCTCATTCACCTTAGTTACACCATACATTTAGTGTTAAAGTTAGTCTAGTTTTAATTTGTTTAGTAATAAATCTTTAAACTTTTAAACTCAACTCTCTCTCTTCTGTTGTCTCCGAGTGAATACGAAGCTGTTATCTAATCCCTGCAATAAAAAGATCCAATCTTCTGGTTAAAATAACCCAACAGATCCATAAGGTGGATTTCATATTTCCTATGGAATCCTACGCCTTATGGCTTATTAAATAACATGTAATTTAAATCATTACATAATTGTCCTCCTTTTACAGAGTCAAAGAGAAAAAGAATACATGTAAAAATTCTCAGAAAAGTATAAAATTCATATTAACAATAGAAACAGGGCGGGGCATTCAATTATAAATATATAATAAATAAAAACCTTGAGAATAAAAACAAGTCTAAGATGAACAGACAAATATTCTGGAGCAAGAAGCTGATTTCCCCTTTAGGCAGGAAGAAACAGAAAAACGAGTCCAAACTTTAAGGTCATTAAATAGTTTCTGTTTGTGGTTACATAAAATCTCAAACATTTGAAAAACTGATTTTTTTCTTCACCATAATGTGTTTAAAACTCATAATCTGCTAAATCAGCCAACCTCAACTTAAACGTGTTTCACTGTCTTGCAGAAACCTCATTAAATGATTCAGTTTTCTAAAGTTACACCAAAATGGAAACAACTGAACATTTTCTTTTAATTTTTAGTAAATTTAAGAAAACAAATTGAAATAAAACAGAGAATTTATTCTAAAATCTAAACAGGAAGCTTTGATCTGCAACAGTTTTAGTTTTACAGCCATTTCCTGATTATTGCTAAATAACGTTGTGATATTTGTTTCATATCTTTATTCATAAAGCACCTTTAACAGCAACGTCATGTCCATGAAGGTGATGTCCAGACCAAGCAAATAAACACCAAGTAATAAATAAAAAGAATCCTTCTTCCATACCATGATGTGTGCTACCCCAACGTTACGAATGCCCCATCCACCAACCTTTGGTCGGTCACTGGAAAAGTCATAAATACCTCCTACCTAACTTCCCCAACAGCCTGTGCTCAGAGAGTTGATGGGCTGATCCACAAGTGCCACCGCTGCTTTAAAGAGGCTTCACTCATTTTTAATACACCTGCAGTGGTCTCTAATTCCATCTTTTGGTTCTTTTTAAAACACATAAAGGTTTTATTTACCTGCAACGTTTCGTTTGCGGCTGCAAACTTCGAAGTTTGCAGCCGCAAACGAAACGTTGCAGGTAAATAAAACCTTTCTGTGTTTTAAAAAGAACCAAAAGATGGAATTAGAATTTCAACACGGCAAGAACACACCAAAGATGCAGTGGTCTCTAGTCGGAATTAATGTCCTGTAAGTCGTACTCTGGGGGGGAAAAGCTCTGGTGTGCCTGTTTCAGGAACTAGAAGTGATCCACATCAGAGCTGAGGCTCAGAAGACAGGATCTGGAGTCTTAGGCCCTGTCCACACGTAGCCGGGGATCTGCCAAAACGTGGATATTTTTCTACGTTTTGGCCTGTCATCCACACGAAAACGGAGTTTTTTCACACGAAAACGGATCTTTTTAAAAACTCCGGCCAAAGTGAAGATCTGCGTTTTCTCCGTTTTGGGTGTCTGCGTGTGGACAGACAAAACCGGAGGTTTAAGGTCCGCAACGTCACTTTCCGCGACAAAAAGATGCTGACATCACGTGTGCGACCTGTGTTTACACTAGCCGACAGCATGGATGCCCTCAGAGCTGCGCTCGCTTTATCAATTGTCCAAGCGCTTTTTGCTTGTTTGTGTTTGCAAGCGGAATTACTGCTCCTTGTGGAAGACCACAGACGAAGGACGAGGTTAAGAACGGGGGAAGTACTGCCGCCTACAGGTCTGGCATGTCCTTAACAACGTATTTATCCGGGTACATGTGGACAGAGTTTGTTTTTAAAACACGGTGGTGTGGATGCAAGTTTTTGGAGGGGCAGATATTCGTTTTTAAAAAACCCGGCTACGTGTGGACTAGGCCTGATTTCCACAACAACGCGACTCTACCACTTACTCTGTTCTGCAATGTAGATGTTTTATCTCCACCAATAACACAAGCCTGGATGAATTCTGCTGTGTGGTGGAGTTGCTAATGCTAACAGTTAGCTTGTACTAGCTGAGACGATCTCTGAGGTTTCCTGGATGCTAAACCAACAACAGCCTTTCCAGTTGTGAGTCAAGATGGGCGAGTCCATGAATGTTAGTGCCAGTGTGACGTAGATCTGTCGGGCTTTTCTAATCCTAGAGTTTCACTGTCTGTTTTCTATCAGAAGCTAAAGCCTGAGTCATGCTTCTGCGTCTGCGTCAGTGCGGAGACTCGCTACGCCATTATCCGTCCTTGCGAGCCTGCTGGAGAGCCCTCGCAAGGACGGATGGAGTCGAGCTCTCTTTTCGAAACATCCGTCCGTCGAGACGGAGAACGCAAGTTTGTGATTGGTCAGGACGCCACTGTTGTCTACAGCACCGCCATTGCACCCTCAAAAACATAAAGAGAGCCGAGGATAACAAGCGGCAGACACGGAGAAGCTTGAAGAATAACTCGTGAAAAAACTCTAAAAACATGAACGTTTAATTCCCCGTGACTGGAGGAGTGAAAAGATACGCAGCAAGCGTTTTATTTGTGGACGGAAATGACAGGAAAAGTGGGTTTAGAGGTGGGGAGCGCATGAAGAGGTGGAGGAGAATGAGAGACAAATTTGTTTGTGTTAAAAAGTCTCTTATGTACAAAAAACACAATATAAACACACTATCTTGGACCGATACATGACAGGATACCACAGAACAGCGCTACG